GTGGACCTGTCTGGGAAGGATCAGGAGGTGTGTTTGGCGTTGCAGGATATTTTGTACACTGTGTGAAGATGTGTCGTTGTGATTGGTTTAATAGAAAGCTGAAAATCCAATAGCCAGGCAGGAGAGGTTAGGCGGGACTTAATGGGGCAAGAGAGAAACTCGGGGTTAGAATCGAGCCTGGCAGGAGACGCCCGCGGGACTCTGAAGAAGTCCGAGGAGAGGCAGTACCGAGGAGAGGCAGCCGGACCATGGGAGCAGAACGTAGATTAATAGAAACAGGTTAAGGTGTAAGAGCTAGTTGGGGGAAAGACAAAGCTAAGGCCAAGCATTCATAATTAATAATAAGTCTCTGGGTGGTTATTTGTGAGCTGGCAGCCCAGAGGAAAGTCCGACTACAACGTGGCCTTGATAGAAGAGGTATTTCACCAGGAGTGAGTTTTGAGGTTTCAAAATCCTACAACCAGGCCAGTCTGCCTCTACCTGAAACTTATGGATCAAATGTGAGCTCTTAGCTGTTTCAGAACCATGTCAGCCTGTTGGCCACCAAGCTCCTTACCAAGATAATCATGGACTCACCCTCTAAAACTGTAAGCAAGCCCCAGATTAAATGCGTCCTTTATAAACTTGCGGTGGTTACGGTTTTTTGTTTGTTTGTTTGTTTGTTTTTGTTTTTCAAGACAGGGTTTCTCTGTGGCTTTGGAGGCTGTCCTGGAACTAGCTCTTGTAGACCAGGCTGGTCTCAAACTCACAGAGATCCCCTGCCTCTGCCTCCCAAGTGCTGGGATTAAAGGCGGTGGTTACGGTTTTTCATCACAGCAATAGGTAACTACTATAGCCTTTAAGGTCAAACCGAGCTAAAAAAAAAAAAAAAAAAGAAGGCCGGGCGTTGGTGACACATTAATCCCAGCACTCGGGAGGCAGAGGGAGGTGGAGGCCAGCCTGGTCTAGAGTGAGTTCCAGGATAGGCTCCAAAGCTACACAGAGAAACCCTGTCTTGAAAAACAAAGCAAAACAAAAATCCAGCTAAGAATGTGGGCCTTGAAACAACCCATCAAACCCTGGGCCACAAAGGCTTCAACCACCCCAACCCCCCCCCCAAGAGATGAGGAGGAGGTCTGAGAAGGGACGGGTCCCAGGCAAAATTTGCTGATGTGTGAGGGACACATATCCAAGGTGCTAAGAGTCTGGGCTTTGAAGTCAGACAATCAGCATTCAAATGCTGAATCTGTCCCCTCCTTTCTGTGTGGCATTAGCCAAGATCCTTACTTCTCTGGGCTCATTTATGTCCTCTGCAAGATGGAAATGAGGGTTTGCTCTTTTCTTTCTTTCTTTCTTTCTTTCTTTCTTTCTTTCTTTCTTTCTTCCTTACTTTGAGCTCATTTATGTCCTCTGCAAGATGGAAATAAGGGTTTGCTTGCTCTTTCTTTCTTTTTCTTTTTCTTTTTCTTTTCTTTTTTTTCTTTCCTTGTTGTTGTTGTTGTTGTTAACCCAGCAGGGCGGCATGGGTAGCTAAACCTCACATCAACCCTTTGAGGAAACACATTTTCTGTTTTGCAAACAGGGAAACCAAGGCACAGGAAAGCCAAGAGAGTTCCTTAAGTTCTTTCTTCGAGTAAGTGACAACGATGCCAAATGGGTCTCACTGACCTCGGTGGCCCAGGAAATGAGAAAGACCTAGGAAGACTAGGGGTGTGTGTGTGTGTGTGTGTGTGTGTGTGTGTGTAGGGAGGAATCTTGAGGTCTCCTAGTCCTGGGTTGGGATCCCATTCTTCCAATAATTAGCACGTGACTGCAAGTGGCTTTGCCTCAGTCAGTTCCCTTCTCTGTAAAGTCAATATACCGAGGTGTGGGGAGAACAACCGGAGAAAAAAAAAAAAAAAAAAAAAAAAAAAAAAAAAACTGTCCCTAGGACACTGCCTGGAATACAGAAAGCACCCCAAAACCCAGGCCCCTCATTTCCCAGTGCCCAGATCAGCTTGGGACCTGTAGGAATGGAGTGTCCTTGGGGAGCAGAGGGACACA